CCCCCCCCCCCCCCCCCCCCTTCCTGTCAGATCGGTATGGGTTGATCCACCAAGCCCGGATCTCTGCCTCCGTAAACGCCATGAGGGTCCTTAACACCGGCACGGAGGTGGAGGCAGCTGTGGCCGATGCTCTGGTAAGCCTCAGTTCACACAGTCACCTGGACACGCACCTGTAGACCTGCTGTCCACTATGTGATAGTGGCATGTAGGGACGTCCCCATCCAGCTTTCTGATACTGATCCCGGCCAATCAGAGCATGTCCTAAAGTGTAAAGTTATTTATCTACTTCCTTATTGTCAGACTCCTGTTGAACAGGGATTTACTCTGATAACAACTAGCAGCTGAATTAGGGGAGTCTGAATAACACACACTGGTTGGTAAAGAGACACTGAGCTGTTTATTCAGGGACAAACACTAAATAGACCAAATTATAGATAACTCACGGAAATGGCATCAGTGAACAGTAAAAAGTGACAATAATGTTGTAAACTGTATTAAAAAGGCAAAACACTCAAACAACCTGAATAGAAAATAGTCTGTTAACTCAGCATCAGGAACGGATTATTTCTTAATTAATTAAGAAAACACAGATCAGACTTTTAAAAAAACTGGATCTGGATTTTCTGCTGCCGTCCGATACGCATTTTTTTGCAAATATCGGCTGCCGATCCGATCCAGACATTTCTGGATGTAAGTTTAAATTTGTTCCGTTTTGGTGAGCTTGGATCAGAGGCCAGTCCCACCTCTCTGTCTCATAGATCAGCCCTAATGTTAATGGTCTCATATCTGCTGCACATCCAGCTGGTCTGGGATTGTTGTTTGAACTTAATTGAAATTCTGCGCTCTCTCCTTTTTTTTCCTGGTTGGTTATTGCTATTTCAGCTGTTAGGAGACTCCAGAAACAAGGTAGTTTGTCACTTTAAAATCTCTTTGTGTATCCATGCCATCGCACACTAATTCATCTGAGAATCAATAAAGCTGCTTGGCTCCTCACTGTCCTCCAACCCTTCACCTAACACGCCTCTCACTGCTGTTCCTTTGCTTTTAAAGTCCATGGCATCCCAAACGTGTGCACACCCTCTTCCACAGACGAGACTTTTCTGATAGACGTCTTTCATTGCGTTATTTCAGAGTTTTTTTCTCTTTTTTTTGGGCTGAATATTTAAAATATTCCCTTCTGTTTGACCTCTTTTCCTTTGCTATGCATTTCAAGTCCAGGGTGTCTCTCTTTCTAGGCACAGATTATTTTCTTTATCATATTATCTATTCATTTCCTTCCATTTCAGGCAGAGGAATCTGCCTGTATTCTGTGTGCACGCCGTCAGACGCTAATGTCTGAAGCTCCTTAGACCCTCTGCATGGCTGCCAGCCTCCCTCCTCACAGCTTGCCCCCCCCCCCCCGTGTGCCCCCCCTGCTGTCCTCCTCTGGTCCCCAGCGGAAGCCGCTCAGACGGCGGTACGAGTCTCCCGGCATGTACTCCGACGACGACGCTAACAGCGACGCCTCCAGCGCCTGCTCCGAGCGCTCCTACGGCTCCCGCAACGGCGCCATCCCCCACTACCTCCGCCAGACGGAGGACGTGGCCGAGGTCCTCAACCACTGCGCCAGCTCCAACTGGTCGGAGAGGAAGGAGGGCCTGCTGGGCCTCCAGAACCTCCTCAAGAGCCAAAGAATCCTGAGGTGAGGCTGGAGGATCTGTGAAAGCCCCGCCGGTGGTGGCACGCCCTCCTGTCCTCTCCTCAGTAGGCAGGAGCCCCCCAGGCCACTCTGGGAGGATTAGGGTGAACGTTGTCTATGGGGAGCAGCCTGGCCTTTTAAAACCAAAGTACAGTCTGCATAAAAAATCCATTAAACTGTGAAGCATCTGGGGAAATGCTTTATTATTACACTCATTATTATCATACATTTGGAGATGCTGTCCTGTAAGAAAATATTCCCAGTAGTTCTGGACTAAAGGCTATTAAAACTGTAAAAAATATTGAAGTATTTTGAAAGCAGATACTCCAGTACTGAAACAGGGGGGTTGATCCATTCTGTCTTTGCTTTAGCCGCGTGGAGCTGAAGAGACTCTGTGAGATCTTCACCAGGATGTTCGCCGACCCTCACAGCAAGGTACACAACCCAAAGCCTGCCTGGCTCCTGAAGGCTCGCCCGGGCCTGAATGCTAACTGAGTTTGCTGTGACTTCTCGGGAACTAACGAGTGTCTCTTGTTGCATGGCCTGCCTTTTTGTGGACCTAACAACAGAGAGTAAGTGTCCATTCCTGTCCATTTTCTGCCCCAGCGGAGCAGATTGTGTGTTCTGACTCCCTGTGATGTGTCCAGGTGTTCAGCATGTTCCTGGAGACGCTGGTGGACTTTGTCACCGTGCACAGGGAGGACCTCCAGGACTGGCTCTTCGTCCTGCTCACCCAGCTCCTGAAGAAGATGGGAGCAGACCTGCTGGGCTCCGTCCAGGCCAAAGTCCAGAAGGCTCTGGATGTCACCAGGTGTGTGCTCACCTGGGTGGGGCTGCTGTGGAAACAAAAGTCTGA